CATGCGGAAAGCCTCAGGTAGGCAGCAACAAGAGATACAGACTGTGAATGGTCATCCCAGTAAGAGCATCAAAAGGCAAATTAAGAAGATGAACACACACTAGAGAAAAATATTGGCAGACTAAATTAGAGGATACAAGTAATAATGAGTTCTGGGTTCCCAGCATGTGGAGCACTTTTTAGAACTTGGAGGGGCAAAGGGAAAATACTAACAGGAGAAAGAAATAGTTGTAGAGGAAGACCGATACTCTAGCAGAGTATGTTTCAGGACCTGGGGCTGGAGCTAAAAGATACATCACCATGCCTAGAGATACATCACCTGCTCCCTAGAGAATAGATACTGAGCTATAAAATTATATCACATTTATTTTTTATTTTTTGATATAAGAGAAAAATGACCCTTGTACCTAGAAAGAAGAATATGGAGGGAAACGCCAACTGACAAGTTTTAGCTAACTTCTTTTAACCTTAACCCAAAGTCATGAGCATCAACATTCTCTGTTTGTTATGTCCCTGTTTTTTTTTTTTTTTTTAAGATTATTTATTTATTTATTTATTTGACAGGCAGAAATCACAAGTAGGCAGAGAGGCAGGCAGAGAGAGAGGAGGAAGCAGGCTCCCTGCCGCATAGAGAGCCCAATGCAGGGCTCGATCCCAGGACCCTGGGATCATGACCTGAGCCGAAGGCAGAGGCTTTAACCCACTGAGCCACCCAGGCGCCCTGTCCCTAGTTTTTATGTAGTTTCCTCATTCATAAAGACTAAGCTATGAAGAATTGCCAGGAACTGCATGGGGGATATGATGGGAGAGGAAAGAAATGACAGGGAGGAAAACACTTTCTGTAGCTTTTTCCTAAGACCCAGCAGATGGTGCTATGGGAACATTGCCTTCTGGACAAGCGTGAAAGTGAGTGCCCTGGGGCAGAAAGAGAACTTCACTGTTTATCTTCACCAGTTTTGTTTCTTGGTGGTGGTTGTGGTGGTTGTGGTTGTGGTTGTTATTGTTTTGGGTCAAACACTTCATTCCTCAAGAACTCCCCTCCAAATTCTGCCTTTTCTAAGACATGAATAGTCCCATATTCCCTGGCTATTCCTAGGAAAAAGCATATTTGAGTGTGAATCTCATCTTCTCCATTTAATAACTAGGTGACTTAAAACAAGTTACATACTTTCTCTGAGCCTCAGTTTCATCATCTGCAAAATAGAGGTAAGAATCCTACATCATATAGTTGTGAGGATTAATAAAATGAACATAAGTGTGCAAAGCACTATGCTTGACATAAAGAGGAACATAATTTTCTTTCTTCTGCCTAAATGTGGAGGTACTAAAAAAAACCTAGAATGTGACACATAGCGTAAGAAATCTCTTTTCCCAAACACTCTCATCTCCAAGGGAAAACCATGAACTGATTTATGAAGGGGGAGTCTTCATGCCCACCCTTTTACTATGGAGCACATACTCTGGTAAAATCATGATTCTCTGTTTGGGAAAGGATTTTTGTGATAATGTAGTCCAACTCTTACATTAGTAATATTCAAAAGGGAATGAAGAAGCCAAAACACACATTGAATATGCTCTTGTTTTCAGGACATGAACCAGGAAATAGTACTCAACAAATTTCTGGTTGCTAACATTGGAAGGTATTCAGGAAATGTAGCTTTGAAATGGTTAAAACTTTCTATGATACATGGAAATTTTTTAATGCCCCCCACAATAAATTCAGTTACTTTGCAAAGAGCTCAATGCATATTTAGTCAATTCAGAGGTTAAAACTTCTTTACATAAAGTCAAAATTTACCTCTCTTTTTCAAGTGCCCAAAGGTCCCTTGTTCTGTTCCCTTTTCCTACCACCTCATGCACACTGACACTCACAAACAGACCCGCACATTGTCTCTTCCACAGGAGTTCATGGTTCTGCTGCCCCACACTTCCCAGCCCTTCTCTTCTATCTGGGACTCTCCTTTCCTGGGGAATCATCCTGACAAGAAAGTGTAGAGGAGAGTCAGGGTTCACATCCATCCATTGTGATATGTGAAATTAAGGTATTTAAACTGTCAGTAAGTCAGTGTCAATACATAAGTTTTACTGAAACACAGGCATGCTCACTTTTTTGCACATCATCTATGAATGCTTTCATGCTACCAGACCACAGCTGAGTAGCTGCAAAAAAGGCTGTCCCACAAAGCCTAAAATATGTACTATCTAGCCCTTTACAGAAGAAGTTTGCCAACCCATCAATTAGGAGAACACTGGCTCCAAGAGCATGTTTCACCTAGAATAGTCTTCACCAACAACCCTCTCTTCCCTCTGTGGCAACAACTGTCTCTGGCAGGAAATTAGTCTTCACTCAGCAAACGCTACCTCCCCTGCATTCCCACAGTCTCAGTCACACCTTCCAAAAGCTCCCTCCTCTAATGGAAGCATAACAATCTGGCCCAAATCAGACATCTAGAGGAAACACAGCCACAAAATGGATACTGACTCTGCAGCCCTCTGGGTAGTTCTTAGAAGAAAACAGAGTCATAATGGTTGAATTTGGAATCATGTAATTTATCATTTACCAAGAGTTGCAACCACTCCTTCCCAAATCCTAATGACTATATTGCATAAGCTTCAAGTCTATGTGACTTCACTCAGCTTCAGTGACATTCGTGCTATACATACAATTCACAATGGATGAAAGGCAGAGTAAGGTTGCAGAGATAATCAGAAAGCCACTTATTGATTCCCAAGCTTAAGATTCAGTTTCTATTCAGGTGAAATTATGTCCTCTGAGGTGAAGATGACAGGAGAGAGGGTAGACCCCAATCTTGTGAAAAAGTAGAAGTTGGCCAATGCCGAGTACTACAGACATGACCCTCACTCTTCTTTCAATTCAATATGACAAACATTTACTGGGAACTTTTATGTGCCAAGTAATGTGCTGAGTCCCCCAGTGACACAGGTAATAATGCCATTCCCTATTCTCAAGAAACTCACAGGATAGAAGTGATAAAAACACATAGACAGATACATACGGTATACAGATGCATGTGTAAGAAAGGATATACACCAAATAACGAACAATAGCTATTTCTGGGTAGGAAGGTTACAGGTATTTTCATTTGCTTTGCTTTGCTTATCTGTGTTTTTTTTAAATTTTTTATATTAAACATTAATTACATAGTAAAATAATTTTAAAACATTTTACAATATAGTGTGATTGATACTATAACAAAACTATGCATAAGGTACACAGTTATAACTCTCCTGAGTAATTCAAGAAATACTTCTTACACGATGTCTAAAGTAGGTTTTAAAAAATGAATAGCAGTGCACTAGGCAGATAATGAGGAAAGATATTCCAAGAAAAAAACATGAAATAGGACAGTATATTCAGGAAGGCTTAAGTAATTAATTACTGGTGAAGCATAAAGAACAGGGAGAGAAGAGATAGGGCTAGAGAGAAGCCACAGCCCAGATCATGAATAACCTTGGATACCATGCTAAAGAGCATGGATTTCTTTCTAAGGTTATATAATGGTTAAAATGAAAGCTACATTGATGAATGGCCACTAAGGTATAGTAAATAAGTTTAGGTAAAGAGACCAGAAGCCCTTTACAGTCATTATCAATTCAAGAGAAATGGTAATAATACCATGGGTAATAATATCATGGATGATACTTTAGCTGGAAATCCATATAAGAAAATAAAGCTTAAAATGAGAGAGTTTGACTGAATAATCCTTAAGGTTCCTTTTAAACACCAGATTCCATGATTCTTGGACATTTGGTCCCTGATGTTCCTGCACACATTCCATTCAACTCCAATTAAAGTCCATATAATTGGTTATCAATGCATTATGATGGATACTTTGTTGAATATGCCAAGAAGTCTTTCTGTAGTGTTCAGAGACTCTGGCAGGTGGGGCTGCTAATAGCCCAGATTTGGGAACTGCTAATGCAATCTCAGGTGAACAAGTAAGGAAGACAAACACCTGGGAGGTGGAGATGGAGGTATAGGTGGAGCTGTGCTTATTTGGGAGTGAATCAGAACATCTCAAAGAGCAGCTCCTCCCTGAGATGGACCATTATTCGCTCTATAAAAAGGCCACCATCCTCAACTAGCAGCACCCTGTAAGCTACTCCAGTCTCCATCCTACTTGTTCCTCTGGTGAACTAGGTAAGTGAACAGGAGTACTTTGGGCTATAAATTACAAGAATCCAGGATGTGTTCTAAGGCAAAGAGGCACTGGATACCAGGCTTCTTTTTAATGTACTTTGGGGACTTTGATGTAATTTTAACTTTATTGAGAAGGAAAATAAAGAGATGACTGGGAATGATGGTACCTTCTTTCTTCAGGGTCATTTTCTTAAAGATGATGGGCTTTCAATTGTCACTTGGCAAGTTGCCCCTGGACTTCTGAGATTTTTTTCTCTGTTGTAAAATCAGTAAACCCTGAAAGTCAGTCCCTGTTTGGATAATTAAAACAGAAGTGGGACTGATAGCAGCTGCATCCAGCTCCATATCACCTAGGCCTGTAGTTGCCCACTTTGTGTACTTTCTCTGGCCTACACGTTTTGAAAGTCTAGCTTAGCCACTGGAGTCAGGCATATCATGTGGATGATAGACCGGTCCCTCTTCAGTGATGGTTGGCACCTAAAGAGGAATCGAGGAAGTGGGTAGACTGGCACACCCAGGATTTCTCTAGCTCTAGAACAATGCTCATGAAATTATCCCTGGTAAAGGTGGGGAGCTCAAAACAGAAAATCATTGCTCCTACATACATTCAGGAATGAAAATAAGATATAGATTCTGTTCCTACTTTCATCACTCTCTTGCTACATGGCTTGAACAAGTCTATCAACTCTGGATTGGTTCTTGATTTCAAAAGGATGAATTTAATGATGCCCAATTAATTCTGAACAACTATTACAAATGATTGGAACTATTTATGTATATAAGCAAGAAAAAGGAATAATATAAGGTGGGTCTCTCTCCTTTCTTTCCATTAGGTTAAATTTACCAAAAAAATGCCTAAACTCCTAAAAAGTATCGTCACTGTCATTGATCTTTTCTACCAATATGCCACCCGGGATGGGGAGTGTGACATGTTGAACAAGGCAGAACTGAAAGAACTTTTGGAAAATGAGTTTCATCAAATTCTGAAGGTAAGAACTCCAGGTCAGGACTGAAGACAGCTGCAATGCTCTTCTTCATCCCCTCCTACCTTTTTGTCACCTATGTCAAACTCCTACAGGACTCTCTCTACTTGGTAATAGAGAACAGGGTTTGGTAAAGGCTTGAAATATGATCAAAAGTTGACCCAAGTGGTTTCTAAAACATGACCAAGGGATGAGATCCTACTGAACAGACAAAATCCATAGATTATATAATATCCCATCTGTGTGAGTAATTCTTACGGAATAAAAAATTAAGATGGTTCTCAGGAAAAAAAAGTAGGTAAAATTCATCTTCTTCCCTTTATTTGTCATTCTTCAGCCCATTCTGACCACTGCCCATTTCTGAGACTATGACACTACAAGGCCTCTGAGTTCAGGAAGTTAGCATCTTACTCTTAAATCATGAAACTTGGTGACCACCATCTTAAAATGTCACCTCTGAAAAAAATATATATATTTGGGAGCTTAGATCTAGCTCTTCATTATATCCAGCTGCCTACGAAATATTTCTTATTTGGATTCCTAAGGGTGTAATTCAGTGTGTCAAATATTAAACCATTTCCTTCCAAACCCTATATATAGGATATATATAGGATATAGTAAATATCCTATTTACCCAAGGCAGAAATCTGGTTCAGTTCATGGCTTCTTCTCTCAGCAAGCACCTCCATCCTCAACCTTTCATCTATTTCATCAATAGTCTCTCAAAACAGCCCATTTCTCTCCATCACTATTGCTAGTCCTCTGGATCATGTCACCTTCTATTTCTAATCTTAGTCATCATAAGTGCAAATCTAATTATTTCGCAGCTCAATTCAAAGTCCTTCAAAAGCTGCCAGATCTTTTGGGGGGGAGGTTTGAGAAAGGAAGAGGGAGAGCACTCATTCCAGGGGTGAGGGGGGGAAAGAGTGAGGGGCTAGGCTCCATCTCAAAACCTGGGATCATGACCTGAGCTGAAACCAAGAGTCAAATGCTTAACCGACTGAGCCACCCAGGTGCCCCAAAAGTTCACAGCTTCTAAAATAAATAAAGTCCAAAATTCCTTTACACAACTTAAAATGCATGATATGATCTGTGTTTCTCCAGCAATATCCCCTGACTATTGAGACTCAAAATTTAACAATCCTGAATATCTTTCAGTGCCTCATATGAGGCATGTATCCTCTAACCTCCAGCTTTGTTCATATTGTTCTTTCTGCCTGGAACAATCTTTTGCCCTCTCTCCCTCCTTTCCTAACCCTTCATTTGGCTAAGTCCAACCCATACTTCAAAAGACATCACTTCCTCTCATTAACCTTCCTTGAACCCACTGGTTCTCTTATGGTGTACTTTCAAAAACATTATCACAATGCACTGTAATTTTAAGTTTGTGTGTCTATGCATTTTGTCAGAAAACAAACTTGTTCACTGCTTTATCCCTGCACTGAACCCAATGCTAAGCAGAGAGTAGGTGCACAGTAAATCTTCATTAAATGAATTAATTAATGAAGTAAGAGCTGCGAAAATAAAGAAAATTCATATATAATTATGCTAATCATTCATATTTGACCTATTCTTTTTCATTTTTTAAAATTCCTATTTATAAATTAGCTAATCATATTTGACCATTTCTTACAAAATATAATTCATTCCTTTTCCCTAACATCTTCCATTTGCATCTTCTAGCAATTTCTCACTGCATTGTTTATTACCTATTTCTTTCTTTCTTTCTGCTCAGGATAGAGCAGTCCTGCCTAAAGGATTGGGTGGCTGAGCTCCACCTAAGCCTGAATATCTGGCTACAGTCTTCTTCAAATGGTTAGCTGGATATGTAGTCCATAGTGAAATAGCTGCCCCTTGTATCTTATTCCTATACAGAATCCAGATGATCCAGACACTGTAGATATCATCATGCAAAATCTGGATCAAGACCGTGACAAGAAAGTGGACTTTACTGAGTATCTTCTGATGATATTTAAACTGGCTCAGGCTTGTAATAAAATCATCAGCAAAGATTACTGCCAAGCTTCAGGGTCAAAACAGAGAGACCACAATCACCAGCACCAAGAGGAAAAAAGTGAAACAAAAGAAGAGGACAAAAGGCAAGGTCATTCAAGGTCAAGTACAGGAGAGAATGATTCCAGGGGCTCCAGAAGAAGCAATAAACACAGGCCTGGGTCCAGCTCCAGAAGAATGGACCATCAAGGAGGCTTGTCAAGTTCAGAGCACAGGCAAAGCTCTGGGGAAAGAAGAAGAGAGTCAAGTTCAGGCCACTTCAAAGAGAGCAAGAAAAACAGGCATGGCTCTTATAAACAAGAGAGGTCTGAGAGTCATTTTTCTGGTCAGAGGCAACATAGAACCAATAAAAGTGGTCAATCTGGACTTCGTAGACAACAAAAATGGTCTACAAGCAATGAGGGATATGGGTCTGAATCAGGCCAGTCCATAAGCAATGGCAAAAATCAGTCAAGCTCCTATGAGTCCTCTACTCAGAGAAAACATAGCAGCAGCTCTACTCATCAGTCGGGAGGTTATGGAAGACAAAATCATGGCTCTGTGTCAGGCCAGTCCTCTAATTATGGAAAATATGGACCTGGTTTTAATCAGTCTTCTAGTCAGAAATACCATGAATCTAGCTCAGGATCCAGTTTAGGTGAATCATCAAGCTGTGGACAACATGGATTTGGATCAGGTCAATCTTCTGGCTTTGGGCACCATGGATCTGGTTTAGGTCAATCTTCTAGTTATAGACAAAATAGTTCTACTTCAGGATGTTCATCAAGCTGTGGACACTATGGATCTGGCTCAAGTCAATCTTCTAGCCATAGCCAACACTGGTCCAGCTCAGGAGAGTTGTCTCACTATGGACGACATAGTTCTGGCTCAAGTCAATCTTCTGGCCACAGCCAACATGGGTCTGGCTCAAGAGAATCTTCTAGCAATGGACAACATAGGTCTGGCTCAAGTCCATCTTTTAGCCCTAGCCGACATGGATCAGGAACAGGCCAGTCCTCTGGCTTTGGGCAACATGGGTCAGGATCAGGTCAGTCTTCCAGCCATAGCCAACATAGGTCCGGATCAGGTCAGTCTTCTGGATTTGGGCAACATTGGTCTGGATCCAGCCATCATTCTAGCTATGGCCAGCCTGGGTCTGAATCAGGCCAGTCTTCTGGCTATGGTCAGCATGGGTCTGGCTCAGGACAGTCTTCTGGCCATGGTCAGTATGGTTCTGGCTCAGGTCAATCCTCTACCTATGGACAATATGGTTCTGCTTCAGGACAGACATCAAACTGTGATCAACATGAATCTGGATCAGGCCAGTCTTCTGGCTATGGGCAACAGAGATCGGGCTCAGGTCAGTTCTCTAGAAATGGTTATCATAAGTCTGGATCAGGTCAGTCTTCTGGCTATGGCCAACATGGGTTTGGATCCAGTCAGTCTTCTAGTTATGGCCAACATGGGTCTGGATCAGGTCAGTCTTCTGGATTTGGGCAACATGGGTCTGGCTCAGGTCAGTCTTCTAGCTATGGTCACCATAGGTCTCGACCAGGACAGTCTTCTGGCCATGGTCAGTATGGTTCTGGCTCAAGTCAATCCTCTAGATATGGACAATATGGTTCTGCTTCAGGACAGACATCAAGCTGTGGTCAACATGAATCTGGATCAGGCCAGTCTTCTGGCTATGGACAACAAAGATCAGGCTCTGGTCAGCCCTCTTGGTATGGTCATCATGGGTCTGGATCAGGTCAGTCTTCTGGCTTTGGGCAACATGAATCCAGCTCAGGAGAATCCTCTGGCAATGAACAGAGATCTGGCTTAGGTCAGTCATCAAGCTCTGGACAGCACAAATCTGGATATAATCAGTCCTCTAACTATGGACAACATGGTTCTGCTTTTGGACAGTCATCAGGCAGTGGTCAACATGCATCTGGATCAGGCCAGTCTTCAGGCTTTGGGCAACACTGGTCTGGATCAGGTCAGTTTTCTGGCTGTGGGCAACATGGGTCTGAATCTGGTCAGTCTTCTGGCTTTGGTCAACATAGCTCTGGATCAGGCCAATCTTCTGGCTATGGAGAATATGGGTCTGGATCCACTCAGTCTTCTAGTTATGGCCAACATGGGTCTGGGTCAGGTCAGTCTTCTGGCTTTGGGAAACATGGATCTGGCTCAGGTCAGTCTTTTAGCTATGGTCACCATAGGTCTCAATCAGGACAGTCTGCTGGCCATGGTCAGTATGGTTCTGGCTCAGGTCAGTCCTCTAGCTATGGACAATATGGTTCTGCTCCAGGACAGACATCAAGCTGTGGTCAACATGCATCTGGATCAGGCCAGTCTTCTGGCTATGGCCAACATGGGTCTGGATCAAGTCAGTCTTCTAGTTATAGCCATCATGGGTCTGGATTAGGCCAGTCTTCTGGCTTTGGGCAACATGGGTCTGGATCCAGTCAGTCTTCTAGTTATGGCCAACATGGGTCTGGATCCAGTCAGTCTTCTACCTACAGCCAACATGGGTCTGGATCAGGCCAGTCTTCTGGCTTTGGGCAACATGGGTCTGGATCCAGCCAATCTTCTAGTTATGGCCAACATGAGTCTGGATCAGGTCAGTCTTCTGGCTTTGGACAACATGAGTCTGGATCCAGTCAGTATCCTAGCTATGGCCAGCATGGGTCTGGATCAGGTCAGTCTTCTAGCTATGGCCGACACAGGTCTGGCTCAAGTAGATCCTCTAGTCACAGCCGACATGGGTCTGGCTCAGGTCAGTGTTCCCATTCTGAACAATATGGGTCTGGACCATGCCATTCATCTAGCTCTGAGCAGTGTGGTTCTAGATTTGGTCAGTGTTCTAGCTCTGAGCAATATGGGTATGGCTCATGTCACTCATCTACCTCTGGACAATGTGGTTCTGGATCTGGTCAGTATTCTCACTCTGAACAGTACAGATCTTGTTCATGTAACCCATCTAGCTCTGGGCAATGTGGTTCTGAATCTGGTCAGTGTTCTAGCTATGAGCAACATGAAATACAAGGGAGATGTAGATCAAGTTCAAGTGAAACTCGTAATGAATACAGTAGACCCAAAATGTGCTCGATCCCTAATCAATCAAGAAGCAATAGCCAGGAATGGTCAGAGTGTGGCCAAAAAGAAAGAGGTAAGAGTTATGGCCTATCAGGTAGTGGGCCTGATGGATATGAGAGTATTCATGGACAATCAAGAACATGTAGGCAACAAAGCCAAGGATGGAGCCAAGGTCCATCTGACTGTATCCATTCAAATTGTAATGAAGAACAAATAAGAAGCAGTTATAGACAAGAAGTAAGCTCATCAAGTTGTGGTTCTAGACAATTTACACCCTCCTATGGACATTCTAGATCCAACACTACCAATACACTGCTAATTTGCAAGGAGGGTAATAGACAAGGTGACTATTGTTATAAGAGAGGAGGAGATAATTGTGCAGGGGGAAGTACCAGCCCAAGTTCCCACAGTTTCCCTAGTAGCACGCCACTCTATAAATATATCCAAGAGCAGAGGTGCCAATTCTAGGGATGAATAATAAATATAAGTAAAATTAATTCAAGTAGCCATTCAAGAAATACAAAAATGTTACAGATAAGCAATTCATTATAAAACTCCTTTTAAAAGCAAGTATATCTATTTCTTCCTCTAAACATGTACTCTATTCCTTGTTATTAAGTTTTCCTCAGAAGAATGTAGGGTATGTGGGCACTTTGTTAGGAAATATTGAGTTGAACAAATTATGTATGGGAATAAATTTAAAAGAATAATACAAAGCATATGAGAAGCATGAGGTTTAGTTGAGGTATCTTTTTGAGAGTTCATTACTAAAGCTTTCAGTGTAAGTCTAAAGAACAAAGTATTAGAAATGCATTACCAGTTCTGGGGTCAAAGCCTCTCTTATAGCAACATGGAGGGACCAGAGTTGTGGTATCCCCCACATTGGATGGTGACAGAATGGAGAATATTCTAAAAGCAAAAAATGTAATTTTGGTTGTTTCCTTACTTATCAAAACCACCAAGACCCTATTCTTGGGTAAGTCTTTAATAAGTAAGTTTAACAAGTGTCATTTAAAAAATGGGACCAAGAGCTTCTCCCTTGCCAGTGAGTGAGAGAGAGCATTCTTTCTTAAACAGCAGGGATGGACCCTGAAGGATAAAGGAATCCAAATGTGGATTCTAACTTGGTTTCAGCAAGAAAGTTCTTGCCCCCTACTCCTAAGAATTTGCCCCAGGTTAAAAAAGGAAGAGCAATAGCATGGTCTCCAACCTACTTTTATAGTTCATTGGTCTTTCCATATAGGAAAATATCATTTGTGCCCAGATGGAAAGGAAGACTATCTGCCACTGCTATATAGATTTTGGCTTGACTATAAAATATTTGTTTCAAGTCTTTGGATCCAATAACTGGATTGCATAAAATTGATAATAAATAATCATGACCAAATACTGAGGTCTGTGTCATCTCTGCTTCATTTCACTTCTCACGCATAGGTGGTCAGACTAGAAACTAACTCAGAAAGTTATTTTCTAAGGTCCTATCCTTCACAAACAACCCAGACTATATAAAGAATTTTAAACTTTAGGGATAAGACAAACAACTCAGTTTAAGAATGAGCAAAATCTGAATGAAAAAAGATGTACAAGTGGCCAACAGATACATGAAAAGATACATGATGTCACTAATCATTAAGGAAATGCAAGTTAAAACATAGTAAGATACTACTACACACCGTTAGAATGGCCAAAAATAAAAATACTGGCAATATCAAGTGTAGATATAACAAGTGGGAAAAAATAATGACATAGTCACTTTGGAAAATAGTGTAGCAATTTCTTATAAGGTTACTATACCTAACTATATTACCCAGCAATTCCGCTCCTAGGTGGAATGAAACATATGTCCACATGAAGATTTTTACATGAATGCTCATAGCAGTTTTAATAATAATAGCCTGAAACTAGAAACAACCCAAATGCAACCAATGAATAGATAAACAAATGGTGGTACAGCCATACAATGAAACACTATTTAAGAAGGAAAAAAAAACGAACTATTGATATACATGATGGATGAACTTCAATAACATTATACTGATCAAAAGAAGCCAGACACGAAAACGTACATACAATGTGATTCCACTTACATGAAACTTACTGAAGATTAAAAAAGAAAGTAGATCAGTAGTTAACTAGGAATGGGGGTAGAACTAATGACTTATGAATCAGCTATAAATAGGAACACAAGGGAGAACAAGAGTGATGGAATTGTTCTATAAATGCACCTTATCATATGAAAGCTATATTTCAATAAAGTTGATTTTGTTTAAAGTCTTCACAAGGCTTTTTGTGAAACTTGACACACTAATGCCAAATTTTTTTATATAGAAGAATAAAGAATTAAAAATGACCAAGACAGGGCAAGTGGGTGGCTCAGATGGTTAAGCATCTGCCTTCAGCTCAGGTCATGATCCCAGGAGTCCTGGGATTGAGTCCCAAATAAGGATCCTAGCTCAGCAGGGAGCCTGCTTCTCCCACTTCCTCTGTCTGCCACTCCCCCTGCTTGTGCTCTGTGTCAAATAAATAAATAAATAAAATCTTTTTTTTTAAATGACTAGGATAATTTTTAAATAAGGAGATGAACCCTCCATCAGAAAGGATGAATACCCAACTTTTGTAGCAACATGGACGGAACTGGAAGAGATTATGCTGAGTGAAGTAAGTCAAGCAGAGAGAGTCAATTATCATATGGTTTCACTTATTTGTGGAGCATAACAAATAGCATGGAGGACATGGGGAGTTAGGAGAAGGCAGTTGGGGGAAATTGGAAGGGGAGATGAACAATGAGAGACTATGGACTCTGAAAAACAATCTGAAGGGTTTGAAGAGGTGGCGGGGTGGGAGGTTGGGGGAACCAGGTGGTGGGTATTAGAGAGGGCATGGACTGAATGGAGCACTGGGTGTGGTACAAAAACAATGAATACTGTTATGCTGAAAATAAATTTTAAAAACTCATTAAAAAAAATAATAAGGAGATGAACCATGAGAGACTGTGGACTCTGAAAAGCAATCTGAGGGTTTTGAAGGGGTGGGGGGTAGGAGGTTGGGGGAGCCAGGTCGTGGGTATTATGGAGGGCACTATTCCATAATACCATAATACCCAGGTGGTGGGTATTATGGTATTATGGAGAGCACTGGGTGTGGTGCATAAACAATGAATTCTGTTACGCTGAAAAGAAATAAATTTTTAAAAAAGGAAGAGGAATGTCATCAGATATCAAAAGGTATTACAAAGTTATATTTAGGACAGTATGGAATTGTTGTAAGAACAGACACATAGAACAATGGAATATCCAGAAACAGACCCATATACACCTGACATATAACAGTAATGACTCTTCATCTTGGCGGGGAAAGAAAACCTCTCAATAAATAGTTCCACCATTATTGCTTTTCCATGTGAAAAAAAATTATACCTCCATTTCATATGTCATATGCAACATCAGTTCCAAGGGAATTAGAGACCTAAAGTGTGGTAAGCCAAACATTTTTAAATGTTAAAGAAAATATAGGACAATATTTTTATGACTTCGAAGTAGATGGAAGTCTTAAAAAAGAAATATAAGAACCTCAAAGAAAAAAATTAATGAATCTTACTATAATCAAATTCTAAGTGTCTGTAAATCAAAAGACACTCTCAAACCATAAAAAGGAGAGGACACAGACTAGGATAAAACTTTTTTTTTTTTTTGCAATGCCTATAGACAACTGACTAATAGCCAGATTGTATAAAGAACTTACAAATATCAAATTAGGAAAAAACAGCCAAACTTATAAAAAGAAAATTTTCCAAAATAGAAATCTGAATGGCCAAGTGGCATTTTTAAAATGATTCTCAGGGGAACAGAAAATTAAAACACAATGAAATTTCATTTCATAACCATCAGATTAGAAAGCACTAAATTCTAACCATATCCAGTGTTGGGGATGACATGAAGCAATAAGGTCTAAACTGGTAACCACTTAGGAAGCAATTTGGCAAGCACACAAGAGTTACCAAAATGTCATAAACAACTTTAAAAGTTCAACAGAAGAATAGAGAAATATCAGTATACTAGAATGCTATGCAGCAGTTAAAATTTATGGCATGTATATGGAGAGGGCAGAATATAACACCCCAAAATATGTCACTTTGGCATGTGGATGATTTTGAGCTGAGGGCAATCAAGGCCTAGCAGACTCAGGAAGTTTTTGGTCCCTCTCCCTTAACTGTCTAAAAGAATTTAGATGGGAGATCGCTATTATCAGAGATCACTTTTTGAATCAGAAAGACTTGTCTGTGTGGCATGGAAACCATTTGCTCTTCTTGTCTCCCTGTGAATTACCTTCTTCCCTACCTGCCTCTCCTTAGTTCAGGACAGTATACAAACCTGAACTGCCTACTGCTTTTGAGTTTCATATTTTTACGGGGCTCCCATACATACAAAACTAAATTTTTCTCCTGTTACCCTGTCTTATGTCAATTTAATTATTAGGGCAGCCAAAGAATCTAGAAGGGATGAAGGGAAAAGTTTTCTGCTTCTACTTGATTACATATATATATCCACATCAATATGAGCAAGTTCCCAAAGTAGAATATTTAATGACATAGTTGTAAAACATGTATATATAGTGTGATACCATTTACTTGTCTTTACAACATACATAATAATCCCATATATTGTTTGTAGTTATTAACTACATAATTGGTAAATTATAATGTATTAATTTATTTATAATTTATAAGCCCTTATTGAAATGTTAAACACCAAATTCAGGATAGTGGTTACCTCTGGAGAGAATGGTGATGGGTATTGAGGAAGGCACTTATTAAGATGAGCACTGGGTGTTATATGAATCACTAAATTCTACTCCTGAAACTAATATTACACCATATGTCAACTAACTGGAATTCAGGTAAAAATTTGAAACAAAAAAGAAAGAAAAAAAAATAAAAGAAGAAAGGAAAAGAAACTTAAAAAAAAAAGAATAAACAAGGCCAAAAGTGTTCTTTTTCTTAAGACATATTTATTTATTTATTTGAAAGAGAGCATGTGCATGTGTATTAGCCAGGGTTGGGGCAGAGGCAGACAGAGAGAGAGAATCCACAAGCAGACTCCCTGCTGTAGGCAGAACCCTACACAGGGCTTGATCCCAGGACCCTGAGATCATGACCTAAGCCAAAACCAAGAGTTAGCCACTTAACTGGACTAAGACACCCAGGTGTCCCATTAAGCAAAAAGATGTTTATTATATTATTCCCTACACTTATTTGTAAACCTCAAATTATTTCACAAGAAAAAGAAACACACAAAGATCCATGTTAGAATGCCCATCAAGGACTGCTCAAGGAAGAAACTACTCTGCCAAGCTAGGCCATAGTCTCTCTGGTCCAGCATGTCCCAATTGTTGAAATATATGTATCAGTACATCAGAGTCTGATGATATTCATCATCTGAATCACACAACCAACTGCCTAGATCGACTTGAAAACTCACCAGGGAGGCTTGAAATTTTTGGCTTCCTGTAATTTTCCCAAAAACAAAAGGCATTCACTAGCCATTCATTAACATAGAAACCTAGTGTCTCTGGCATTTCGTTTCTGACTTTCTGACTCTCTTTCTTGGCATTCTGGCTTTCTTGCTTCAGTCCCTGGTGAGTTATTTACAAAGAAACAGCTTTCCTGAGTCTCATCAACTCTATAATAGTAGTGCATCCGATTTGAGTCTACATCTGAGTATACAAGAATGATGACCAAATTCTGACCCTTTTTCCAGGCAATGGCCCAACCTTATTCTTTGCCTCTTCCAAATGCTGAGAGTTCAGGAATATATATACATACATATATATGTATGTATATATATTCATTCTAGTAAGAGAAAGCAAAGAAATTTCATATAAATGCCTAGTTGTATACCTTAGCCTGTTTTTTTCATGTGTTTCTCTTCTCCTTGTTATGACTACAGAAGCCAAAGGTAGGAGCAGTAAGGTCATTGTTTTAGACAGGATCTTATAGGATCTCAATACCTTGACCAGAGTCTGAATCTCAATTCTGAAGATGAAGAAATTGACTTTTTTTTTAAATTTGGATATAACCAGGTTCTGAAAGACAGATTCATAGTAAGCAAAGTCTTGAGTGTCTAATTTATTAACTACAAAATATACACGCATTGGGAACAGGAACCAGTTGTCTACCATAGGGCATTCCCTGCCACTGGATAGATTCATTTAAGAGATATCAGAGGTTGTCAAATGAGCTTTAGAGCAAAAGAGTTTTATTCTCAAAATGTTGCTCTATCATGCTATGATAACCCGACAATTTTAACAATTTGTCCTAAAAGGAAAAGAGAGTATGAAATTAACATCTTTATTGAATGCCATGTGAGCAGGGAATATTAAATTATGTGT